GAGGCGCTGTTTTTCTGCTACGGGCGGGCGGCGGGCGACTTTGATGTGCTTCGACTTCGAGCTGGCGGACCAACGCGGACCGCACGGTAGCGGCGGCCGGACGGTGAAGGGCGAGGGCAGCGCCGGAGCGGCGGCGTCGGGAATGACGACAATGGCGAGCCCGGCGGACCTCATGTCGGGCTACTACCAGGCGCAGGAGATGTCGACGATGGTGTCGGCGCTGTCGCGGGTCGTGGCGGAGGACGACCCGTGGGCGCCGTCCGGCTCCGGCGGCGGGGCGGAGGGGTGGGGCTGGGAGGAGCAGCAGGCAATGCACGCCGGCGCTGGCGGCGGCGGCTACGTGCACGAGCTTGGGAGCTTCCCGTCTTCAGAGTTCGCAGGTAAACAAACAGTCAACACACGCATGCTATTGCTAGGCTAGCTTGGCCGGGAAGAGTTTCTGAGTCTGCATGCTCTGCTTTCGCCTCGGATTTGATATTGCTCCACCGAGCTTGGCACGCTCTGCTTTTCCCCGATCGCATTCTTGCATGCTACTCCAGCTCGAAACGTGTCAGGCATGGGCAAAATCTCCTTTTTTTTAGAGTATCTTTACATGCGATGCATTCAGAGGTTCATTACTAGTATCCTAATAAGCTTGTAAAATAAAGGAAATGTCTAAATCTATCGGTGCAAAACAACAAGTTATAGTAATATTTTACAAGAATATTTTAGAGGTAAAAAACTAATATCAGCACCCGGGGCGTACACCATTCTTCTTAGGGCATGTACAATGGTGGCATATGGATACATATGCCCCATGCCAAAAAGTAATTTGAGGCATCTACATTTATTTTTTCTCCCCAATGCAAGCTACCACTAGTGGGCCTTAGTAAGAAATAAAAAATAAAAACTCTAATATACATGCATCTCTACTTTTTACTTCAACCTTTTCAGCTTTTATCACCGGACCACACTTTTTCTCTTTAAGCACCCGCCTCCTGAAGAGGATCCCGCTTCCCTATCCGAATCTACTTTACATCATATCCGATCCTACATGGCATACAAGGCATCACCTTGAGGCTATGCATTGTACATGCCCTTAATAGTAGCATAACTTAACTTAACCAATACAACAATCGATGAAGTTCGAACCTTTACGTTTCCAGCTCTGATCAGGTCATAAAGAATCGGTGAACACGTGTACTGCCAGTTTTGGTCAGTGCAGAGCCCTAGGCACAAAATGTGTCACGAAAAGAGTTTTTTCTTGGAAACAATAGAGGAAAATGCGTGCGGGACATGCAAGCGTAACAAACTGGGTCGTACGGACGAACGGCACGTAGCTCAAAGTCGAAACGCCGGACGGAACCGAGGCGCTTGGATTCCTCGCAGCTGACATAAGGAAAATGGAACAAACCCTATCTGCACAGTTGTACGCCATTGAACCCAGTCTTGTACTAATCCACTGCACCTCTGCAACGCAACAAAGATAGCACAAAGACACAGCCAAGTCTTGAGGTAGCATTTCATCGTACGTACAAAATACAGTGCATCGTCGTGTCGTGTGCATGCCAATATGTCATGGATGAGCTTGCGTGACGCCCAGCCCAGGCGCCGACGAGAATACGGTCGAGAGGCTTCATTTCTTTCCTGAAAAGGCAGGACGTTTCTTCATTTTCTTCTTTCTTTTGCGACGACGAAAAGCGGTTCGAGTTCTGAGCTGTTGCCTCTCGCTTTGCTGGAGCATGGATGTCTTTTCTCTACTGCTACTGCCTACCAGTTCACATTCCTAAAATTAACCCCTCGGCGATCGGGACGGACGCGCTTTATTAACACCTTGCAAATCGCGTTCGGGTGCATGCACATACTACTGCACACTGCATGCGCGAGTGCACAACTTGGAACACGCTTGCGCTTTGCATTCTTTCCGCTTTTCAATTCGCTTGGCGCCTCGTCCCCGTGAGGCCGTGACATCGGTGGCCTCTGTATAAATATGCTTCCGCGTGCGTGCGCAGGGCCGGACCAGAGCTCGGACACCATGGAGGAACACCGCTCCCGCTCCCCGGCGTCGTCGAACGTGGCGGAGGCGCCGCGCCGGCGGTACCGCGGGGTGCGGCAGCGGCCGTGGGGCAAGTGGGCGGCGGAGATCCGGGACCCGCACAAGGCGGCGCGCGTCTGGCTCGGCACCTTCGAGACGGCCGAGGCCGCGGCGCGCGCCTACGACGACGCAGCGCTGCGCTTCCGCGGCAGCCGCGCCAAGCTCAACTTCCCCGAGGACGCGCGCCTGCACCCGGCCACCGTCACCCCCGCCGCCGCGCCGGCCCGGGCGCCGATCGCCGCGCAGTCGGCCTCGACGCCCGCCATGTACGCCGGCTCCACCCAGGCCTCCGACTACCTGCGCTACCAGATGCTCCTGCAGGGCAGGGGCGCCGCCGCCGCCAACCAAGGCAACCTTCTCTCGTTCTACGGCGGGGGCGGGGGCGGGGGCGGCGCCATGAGCAGCTCGTATGGCGGCGGTGTCATGAGCAGCTCCTATGGCGGCGGCGGCGGCGGCGGCGGCACCATGAGCGGTTTCCTGGGGTCCTACTACTCGTTCCCGTCCTCCTCCGTCTCGGTGGCCACGGTGCCGTCCTCCTCCTCCGCGTCCTCCGCTCCGGGCCACCACTACTCGTCGCCGCACGACCCGCAGCAGCACCAGCAGCAGCAGGGCGACGCGGCGGCGGAGTGGAGCTGGGAGAGCGCGCTGGCGCCGGACCCTGGCACGACGACGGCGGCCTCCTGGTCCGACTCGAGCCAGCAGCCGTACCACCCGCCGCACACCCAATAGCGCAGCAATCGCGAAGCCAACCAAGATTCTGCGCCGTCTCTGGAAGAAAGAATAAGATGCGTACGGACGGCGACGGAGACGGGCGCGGCAGCAGCAGCAGAGGAAGATCGAGAATGATGGCGTCACTCGTGGTCGGGTCGGGTCGGGCGCATGTGTTGATTGAGGACAGCCATGGGCTCGTTTTGTTCGTTCGTTGATTAGTTTGGGCGGTGGTGCGGGGCCGCCCCGTTTTTACTACTTTCTGTTCTGGTTATTATTACTGCAAATTAAGAAGAAGAAAATGGAAGAGCGGGCGTGACGCTTGCAGTTGCAGGTGGAGATTGGATGCTTTTGGGGAGGGTTAATCAGAGTCATTTGGCGAGGTTTAACCGCGTCATTTGGGAAAAATAATGAATGTTGCGTGCTACCTGGACTTGTAGTGTGTTTTCTACTTTCTTCATTTCAAATTACTCGTCGTGGTTTTTGTTCAAAACATGGCATGAATTAATGACTCGGTATCAATTTCCATTAAAGAAGTCAGTGTTCGAACAAGAAAAAATAGTACTCTCTACCATAATATATGTCGTTTTAGCAGCTTGGTATGGATCATGTCTTAGCTCAAACTAAACTGTTAAAACGACATATGTCATGGTATGGAGGGAGTATTATACAGACGCGGTCCATTCCACGGCCGGCCAATGAAGAGAGATGGTGTCATGCTCTGCTAAGCTCGGCTTTGATGCTTATTTGTTTTGCATTTGTGGCGATGCCATTATTTCCCTTCTACTGACCTTTTTGAAGCTTTTGATCGTTTTTATCCTGTTTAACGAATCTATGCCACTACACTGCACTCAAACACTCGCCTCAATGAATACAATCTTTTGGCACACATCTAAATTCTTCCACCTAGGAGGAGATACTTCTCACTTCATGAATACTGGGCATGGTGCACTTCCTTTTAACAATAGCCTATCGACCTTTTTTGCCGTCATCAAATGCACCCCTCAACCCTTGTCGAAAGACATTTTTCTTTTCTTGTTTGGAATTGATGCATCAAATGTGCCGACAATTGTTTTTGGGGTAAAGAAGAAAAGAAAAATATTTTTTTGAGTAACTGGAAAGAAAAGAAAAATACTAATGCAACATTACTAGATAGTCTTTTATGGGCCAGAATTGGGCTCATTTATTTCGCACATAAGAAAGAATTGGGAGATTCCCAGTTTCGGACCAGATTACTCTTACGGGGATATGTTCAGCGGCCCACGAGATCTGATGGATCGATCCCACTATCAAGTCTCTTCACATCTTTGGGCTGTATCTTCCTTTCCTCTTTTTTTTTTCAAAATGATTCATTTCCATTTTCTTGATTTTCTTTGAGCGACTCTCCGTCTCTCCCGAAAGCAAAAGGTCGTACGAGCACTAGTAAAGAGCTTCGTAACTGATGGGCGAACCACAATTTCTATCCTTTTTACCAGCACTTTGGAAAAGCTGTGGCTATTCGCAAAAAAAAAAAGGAAAAGCTGTGGCTATTTGATCCCAAATCGCTCGTTTTATAGTCTAATAATTTTCTGTGATTAACAGGCCGGGGAGAAGTAGCTGACCTGCCTCAGCCCACCCCATAACGATGTGGTGGCCGCAGTGGGCGCATGGAGAGCGACCGTCGAACAGACTCGGACCGGTCTCCGGCCAGCCTCCGTCTGGTCGGACCCGATGGAGCCGACGTCCGTCCCTTCCTCCTCCGTCGCGTCACACTCGCTCGGGCCAGCTCAACGCCAGCGCGTCCAACACTGCACCAGCTTACCCAAACGGAACCCAAACCGCACAAGGCCACCCGCGACGACGCGCTCGGCCGCTGCCTCGTGCCCTCGTTGACGCCGTCACGGCTTGTCGTTACCGCCCTGCATCGCACAGCAGGGATAGCCGATGTGCCACAGACCGCCGCGTGGCGGAGCAGGGGGCAGCCGACGCGAGCTGGCTCGCGCCGTGACAGGTGGGCCCAGCCTGTCATAGGGGTCTTCGCTTGGACTTCGGGCTTGGTGGCTCCGCCACGCCACCGCTTGACGCCTCCCTTCGCTCGGTCGCGGACTCCGCCACCAACCGCTTGCTGCTACTTTCCGCCAGCCGGGGAAAAGGCAGCCGCAGTCAGCGACGCCTCACCCCACCCGACCCCCTCCTCACCCGCGCCCCCCGCCGCAGCGCCCGCCGGAAGGTTCTAGAGATGGCGGAGGAGAAGGAGTCGACGTCGGTCCCGCTCAGCCAGGCGGCGGAGGCCGTCGACCCCGAGGACCCGGCCAAGTCGCCGCCGCGCCCCAGCTCGCCCACCACCTCCACCCGCAAGGTCCGGATCCATCCAACCCCGCTACCCCGCCGGCCCAATCGCGCGCGCGTGCCTGTGCCGCTGCCGTAGGGTCCCGCCGCTGCGTGTTCTAGCACTTCGGGAGTTTTGGGCGTGGTTGTGCTTCCATATGGTCGGATCTGTGCGTATGCGGGCACGTTTCCCGTGCCCGCTCTCGTGTGCGGCGGTTGGTAAATTCAGTATGTTGTGCTTCCAGAGCAGTAGGAGTTTTGCTAGGTTTGATCGAATTTACTAGTTCGGGTGATTATTGGGGATATGGATGCTGTTTTGGAGACTGGAGCTTGACTTGAAGCGTTCTTCATAGTTTGAGTAATCAAGCGGTTCGGCCCCTGGTTTTGTTGTCCATTTGTGCCTTGTGGTGGCTTAACTTGAGACATTTGCTTAGAACACATTCTCTTATTTGGATACGATTAATTTGGCTTAGCTCCTTAGTGTCCAAGTTACTATTAATGAATTTGGATGTGCTGGTGTTCCTTTTCTGAAAGAGCTGTGAGCTGGTGGTACAATGTTCGTACTGGGAAGCCAGAGTTGAGAAATGCTGGTCGCCTATTTGTGCAGAAATGCACCCGGTAGCGATTTGAGGACTGTGATGTTGTATTTAGTGTATGGAGAACATGGCGGGTGTCTGGGATCATATCATTATTTAGGTGCCAAGGTAGAACCAAATATGGGTTTGCACTGCATACTTTCGCTGGAAAGATGTTTATGAATGAAAATTTTCAAGTTCAGTTACTTGGTAAGCTGAAAATTTTTGTGCTTGATGTATTTCTGTTTATGCCCTTAATTCAAGTACGTAGTACGGAGTAATTTGCAATTCATGCATTTGTAGCGCTTATTAGGACCGTATAGAACTCTAACGCGGCTCTCTAATGTTGTGGTCTTTTCAATGTTTTGCCCAAAAGGAGCTGCATCCACAAGGCAGGTCATTTTTTCATTTCACTAATTTGCTGATGGTTGGTAAATTTTCTGTAGGCATGCTGCGCTGTTCTTCAGAGTTGGGTGTCAAGAAAATTTATGACTGGATGGTACATCCTTCACCAGAAATAAGTTAAACTTGTTACCAATCTATGCTTACCGATCTTCTTTTTTGTTTCATATTTTCCAGTGTGGTTCTTTTTCCTGTGGCTTTCACGTTCTTCATCACATGGTGGTTCGTTCAATTTGTTGATGGGTTTTTCAGCCCACTATATGCAAAACTCGGAGTCAACATATTTGGTAATTCTTGTACTTGTACTTTGATGATCATGCTGTTTATGGCAGTTCTGAACTTACTATCTTAGAATTACAAATACTAGTTGCATGCCCGTGCGTTGCCACGGAATACGAAATGTGTCCTGAAAAATAATAGTAAAGTCATAATTTGAATTCCTAAAGATTAGATTTAACTTATACATCTCTCACGATGAACTTTACCCTGACAACCCATATTATCCACCAGCCTCATAACCTCTTGAATTACGGGACCAACAAAAGATATAGTGTAGATGAGCATCTATTCCTACCAAGAGAAAAAGGGAAGAATGAACCAGAAGCGTTGTTGATACTCCTGCTGTCCTTCTTTACATGAAACACATATTTTTGAAACGGTGGCAAAAGTTTTGCCTCGTGTCATTAATAAAGAAGGAGAAGCGAACATGGTTCATGAGGTCCATTACACCTCAACAAATGGAAGAGCAAAACAATAACTCTCGCGGCAACTCGTCATAATGGTGGAGGGCGAGGCGGTACGCGCTCCGCACCAAGAAGATCCCGCGCGGATCGGTACCCCACGCAAGGGCATCCTCCATGTATCTCTCGTCGCAAATTTGATCTTGAGGATCACCTCGGCATCGGCAGGCTCGGCACTGGATGATGTCCTCCCTCTATCCTCCATGCTCCGTCAGCAGCTCAACCACTTGGTGTAGTCAGCATGTCCCCCGTGGCCAGATAGGCCTGTAGGACAGAGGGTGCAGGAGCAAGGGATCCCGCCAAATACGAATCTGCTGACCGTCCCCCACGCCCCACACGCCACACCAAGCCCTGCTTGAGCAGCTTGACTCCATGGTGGATTGCATGCCACGTTGAGGAAGAATTACCTGCAAAGACGGTACCCACGAGTGACCCATTAGGATAAGATTTCGCCTTCAGAACCTGCACACACACGAGGACCTTGAGATCACTATTATTAGAAATTGAGCTTTGTCTCACATTCGGCAATAAAGGCATTTTACGAGAACTCGAAGGAGAGACTCGCATTCGGAGACATTGGTTAAGAAAAACGATCTGCCTGGAAAAAACATTATACATCTTTAAATAGCCAATGATACACATTAGAACTGATAACATGGGTACGTTTCTACTAACGACCATCACTCTCCTCTCCCAAACAAAAAAAGGTACCAAATAACAAGTGTCTAAATAAATACAGAACATGAGCTTATCTAAGTGGCTAATGGATGGCATACAGACGGGGCAAATAAATTACTTAACGTTGTTGGAGCTCCAGTCCAAGCTCCATGGCCTCCTACACCTTCTGTATCTCTAAAGGAACAGTGACTCTGAAAGACAAAGCATATGTATACATCAAATGATTGGAGAATTAATAACTACAAAGGTAAAACAAGGGCAATTGCAATATGTCTTAACCTAACTACATTTTCTGCAATCTGAAACAATTTAAAGGTCATGACCAAGCCACTATTCCTTCCAGGTTTGCAATACGCAACAAACTTAAATTTAACTAATGGTTAACAAAAGCATGTGTTCAGTTAGTAATACCGCCTACTGTCAAACAGAGGGTTCCACCTCAAACTATGACAAAGGGAACATTTTCCATTCACGAAATTACACTTAGAACTGCCTAAAAATGTGAGAGCCCCTAGAACGTGATAGCATCTGGCTAGCCAATACAATTTTCTAATGCTTCTTCTAGCAGGCATCCTTAGTGAATGAATGAAGAACACCTTTCCATTCTTCTAGTCAAATCTTACATAAGAAACATTTGAATGCATAGCATTTTCATTCCCAGTATATGGCGGCTCACCAATCTGATTGAGAGGCATCTTGATTAATTTAATAATTCCAGCTTTTCTCCCAAAAAAAATTACCTTGAGAGGGAAATAAAATCCCAGTTTCTGAAACTCTAGAAACATGCAAATTTATATCATGGAATCATTTTTCAAGTTAAAATGGAACAAGATTTACCAGGTGATAAACAGGGTACAAATTGAAGTTAAAGTATTTTCTCAGCAAAAACCAGATTGATGGAGTAAATAGATATACCTCTCGTCCCTCTGACATGTCGGCGGATGTCGAATATTTGGGACATGAAAGCACTTGTCAGGACGTATGTGTTGTCTTGTTTCACTATAACTTGCGAACTGTTGTAAGAGCCGCCTTGACGGAACCTCCAGCACCTCAACCCAACTGCCACTCCACTATCCTCCTCCCCTCCCCTTCGCCAGAGGGCGTCTCTTGGCAATGCTTGCGTAGCGGTGACGCCAGCAGGGCTGTTCTGCTTCGGTAGTCATCCACCATGTCTTATCCTCGTTGTGGCACTCCGAGTGGGGTGACCACGGCTTTGGCAGTGTCCAGTGGCCCTCGAGGTGTAGTTCGGGGACGTGGCCATGGTTGGTTCGGCGTGTGGCCTCCTCTGCACCTTCAGGGCCACATACCTCTCTGCACAGAACAGAGACAGCTTAATCTGTCGGCAACACTGGTAAAAAAAACGAAAATATCTCGTGCAAGATGATAGGATTGACGCATAGAACAGTAAGAAATAAGAATTTCTGCTTACATGCTCAGGTGAAAGAACGAACAATCAGTGGGCACAAAAACAGCTGCATCCATATTTGTATTCTCCTACATAATCATTATGAATCCTAGAAACAAGAGTGAATTAGCAAGAGGTTAGGTGGCACAACGTGGGTGGTTTCCCACGGTGGCGAGAGCCAGTAAAGTACCCCCAGCTGAGCTTAGACTACACGGTGTAGGCGCCGTCCATGAACAAGTTGTCGCAGACGGCATGGTACCTGGTCCTCTATGCTTTTCTCCTCCTACGTGTAGTCGATGTTGTCGCCGTCTCCCTCCGCCGCTACGCGGGGGCGTATGGAGAGGAAGCTGAGAGAGGCCGAGGCTGGCGAGGCGCTGGTCAGAATCGTGTGGTGGCGCCGTGTCGCAGGAGAAGTCCGTGTGGCACCTCCATCTCCTTCGCTGTACCCTACGGGTCGTCGCCAAAGCCTTGGGCATTCCGGGGAGCCCTGCATCTCAGCGCTCGGAGAGGCGGTAGCAGGTGGGGCGGTGACATCGCAAGGCGCGCACATGGATAGGAGGTCGGGGAAGCCGTGACCGGCGAGGCGCCAAGTGCTTGGAGAGGCATGCATTATCGGGTGGGCGGCGGCATCGCAGGACGCATGGAGGAGGCGCCAGTGGAGTCGTGAGGAAACTGCGCGTGGGGTGGGGAACTGGGATCGTGAGACGTGTGCCCAACCGTTTTGTTGTTTGCTAGGATTATTTTTACTGCTGCGCGGGGAATCGTGGGACCAAGGTATCGCTACGTGAAAATAGGAGACGGGGTGATGTTTTTTTCACGTGAGATCGTACGAGGCTCGGGTAGCGATGGAAGGTGGAACCATCACGACGTTCGATCCCCCTTTAATAGTAGAGACTACTCCCTCCATTCCATAATTATTGGTGTGGTTAGAGCATCTCTAGCAGATCCCGCAAAGCGGCCTCTCGCAAAAACCGTTTGCGGTATACCACAACATACTTCTATGGTACTGCAAATTTAAATAAAAATTTCACGCTAGAACATGTTCATCACCATAGTGCATACATACTAATACATACTTTGCGCTAGAAATTTAACCCTAGTTTGACGGCATCCTCACTTGTCGACACCGAGGTAGAACTTGGCGGCCAACTTGTGGAGCACGTGGGCGAGGTCGTGCTCCTCCTTGGCGGCGGCGAGGCGGTTGGTGGCACCTTCTTCTCCGCCTGCCACCGCTTTCTCTGCGGCGACAAGCTCCTCATCGGCGGCGCGAGACCTCTTGATGTGCGGCAAGACGTGCTCGTCGAGCACATAAGCCGGCCCAAGCGTTCCGCCCGCCGCTCCGAGAGAGCCGGCCGCGGTCCCGTGCCTGCCTCGACCGCCATGGCTCCACGGCGCGGCCGGAGCTGCCGGCCTCCGTGTCGTGCTATGCGTGCTTGCTCGGAGGTGACCCGACGTGGCCGCCACAACTTCCACCAGCGCCGCCGGCCATCGTGGAAGAGAAAAAACAGAGAAGAGGCGGAGGGAATTTCTCGCTAGAGTTGGCTAGGGCTCGCAGCGGAGAGGACGAATTGCAGCAGAGGGGATCCGGGATGCTAACCCTAAAAGCCCCCCGGTGCCGTGTATAGTGGCGGAGGGGCCGAATTTCCAGGTTACCCTATATTTTTTTATGGCCGGGCCGATACGCGGGATCTATTCGAGGCACAAAAATGCCCAAACCTGCATGTCGGCTGGAATTTTCCTGGCTGGCGGCCTTTTACGGGATTTGCTAGAGATGCTCTTATGGAGATTGGAACTTCTAGTTGTATATTGTGTGATTGTAAAGGAATATCTGGTTGGCATCATGCAACCATACACCTAAGTATTGTAGGGCCTTTGGCAAGCAATCATAATATCCAACTTTATGTTTTAGTAGGATATTACATAAGCTAATATTGATGGTATTGGTGTCCTTATTCTTGAACAATAGCCAATTTTAACTTAGATCCTCTACTGCAGTAATGCTTTTTTAGCACTTAAACATGTACTTATATGGAATGCAAGTAATTCTCTTTATCATTAAATCAATGTTTATGTTTGTAGCAAGTACTTATTTTTTCACCCACACTTTGCAGGTCTTGGTTTTCTGACTTCTCTTGCATTCATATTTCTGGCTGGAATATTTGTTTCTTCGTGGTTGGGTTCAACTGTCTTCTGGCTTGGAGAATGGTTTATAAAGAAAATGCCATTTGTAAAGCACATATATTCGGCATCAAAGCAAGTCAGCACTGCCATTTCACCAGGTTATTCTTCGTATCATATGTGAAGCTTGATCATCTATCTCTCATGTCTTACAGACTGCCTTTAATGTAATTTATTGCCATTAAGTAGTTGACATATCTTGTCATCTGCACTGGATGATTGTTTGTTCTATGCTTACAAATGCTCTTGAGACATTTTGCTAGTGGTTAATACTCCACTCAGATGGCTTGAATTACATATAAGTTTGCAAACTTAGGAAATAGCACAACACATCTTTGCCTTTTACTGCAAAAACCATGTGAGCTATCTGAGTGGCTTGTCCTTTTTCTAAGTTTTACACCCATTTTAACCATGTCATTTTAATTACATATAAGTAGATCAGTTTTTTGTAGTCCTTTTGGTGCATCTGTTTCACAGCAGGGTTATGCTGTGTTGACTTTGTTCTGTTTGTTAAAAGAGTATCACAAAAAGCATGATGACTTATTACAAAAAAAATTACAGATCAAAATACGACAGCATTTAAAGAAGTTGCAATAATTCGGCATCCACGTGTCGGTGAATACGCCTTCGGATTTATAACATCAACTGTTGTCCTTCAGGTATTTATTTTTCACACGGATCTTGCTATAGTTTGGTTATAAGCAATGTGTCATTGAGACCCCCATTCTATATGGGCAATATATGTTTCATATGGCGCAATTACAGCTGTTTTATGGTCTCCTGTTTTGTGTTATGCTACAGACAGACAAAGGTGATGAGGAATTGTGTAGTGTTTATGTGCCGACAAATCATCTATATATTGGTGATATATTCCTGCTGAACTCTGAAGAGATCATCAGACCAAACTTATCCATTCGAGAAGGAATTGGTATGATGTCTATCCTATTTCACTTTACAGGCTTCTCCCCGTTTTTGTTTCTTGCTGGCTAGAGCTGTGAGCTGATAATGAACCTTCCCTGAAATCATTTGATCCTACAGAAATTATCGTTTCTGGAGGAATGACCATGCCACAAGTAATTGCATCGCTAGATCCCATCCCAAGGAAGAGCCAGAGCATCCGCCTAAATAGAATAATGACATGAGGATGTGTGAGTCATCAAAGCAACGGGTGAGTAGTGAGTACCATGAGCTCAGTTGCTCTAACCATTCTGCTTCATGCTTACTGATATTGGCTTGCCCATCAAGCAGGTCGCGAAGGGTGGATGGAACTCCAGTGCTGGTCTGTTTGTGCTGTAAGTTTCTTACGTGTAAAATGTCAAGGTTGGATACGGGAACGTGATGACCAAGCTGGACGGAAGTATCGTACCGATGCCCTGGAATACTGTTATGTGACACATGTTGTTTTTCTCTGCGTTTGCTGACTGATCCAAAGTGTTAACTTCGATGCACCGGTGTTGTACAACTAGTGTGCCTGATTACATTCATTTGTAAGTGTGTCGTGTAATACCATGTCGACTTCGTTACTATAGTATACATACCATACTGACTGGTTTCTTATGAGCATCTCTTTTTTTCATGGTCTGCTGTGATATACTCCCTCCGGTCCATAATAAGTGTCGTGGT